CCTGCCCCCACCGGCCTGGGGGGGCGCCGGCCCCTGCAGCCCCCTCGGAGTGCCCTGGGCAGGCCATGCCACGTGCCTCCGAGGGTCGCCGCTCGCCTGGGAGCAGTACTGCGCTTGGGGAGACAGGCTCAGAGAGGGGCTCTTCCCACCCGAGGTCACACAGCCAGGAAGTGGGCAGGTGGCATTCCAACCCCGGGGAGGAAGGGGGCCCTTTGGCCCCTCCCCCCGCTTTCTGGCTGGGGAGGCCCCACCTCGGCCCAGCGGCCTCCGCCTCCTCCCTGACGGGAGCTTCCTCCCTTAGGCTGGGCAGCTCCCTCCTGCCCTTCCTGTTGTGGCAGAGAGATATTGCTGATGCTGAATCCCGAGGAAATTGCTGAATCCCAAGGGGGGTGGAGGCCCCGGCGCCCTGGGGCACTGGGTGCGGGCACTGGGTGCTGAGCTGCAGAGGAAGGGCCCAGCCGTTCCTCAGCCCTCGGTCTAGGGCAGGAGCTGCCCGGGTCCCAGCCCTTGCAGGAGCTGCCCGGGTCCCAGCCCTTGCGCCAGTACCACGCTGGGCACCCCTTCTGGGGCGCTTGCCCTCTCTGGGCTTACTTTCCTGTGCGGCAGGTTTCTTCCTGGGTGTCCTCTGGGATGATGGGGCGGGCCCCTGCCAGGAGAGGAGGGGACTAGGCGTGGAGGCCAGCTCCCAGCTGTCCCCGAAGGGGCAGCGCAGATGCAGGGCCAGACCGGCCAGACCGTGCGGCGGGGAGCCTGCTCAGGGAGCCCCTTTGTCCTGATCCCGCAGCCCCCTCGAGGGCCCTGAGGACAGGCACAGGGCGCCCAGTGTTCTGGTCTCCCTCCCCAGGCTGCCCTGCATGGTGGGGTGGGGGTGGGGGCGGTGGGGCTGAGAGTGGCCATTCAGGCTCCACCCAGCTGTCCCCGCAGGCTCCCAGGGTGCCCGGTGCTGGGGTTTGCACGTGTTCACTCCCCTGTCCCCCACCGGTGCGGGCGGGGAGCTGCTGCTGTGGACCCCAGGTTGTGTCTGGTGGGGCCCAGGGGGGTTAAGACCAGGTGTCGGGGGTGCCTGGGGCAGACTGACCCCAGGACTCGTGGGGGGGATCTGCTCTTGGCCACTGCCCTCTGGGGCAGACGTTCCTCCTGACAGCGTTGGTGTGGCAGGGGCGAGGGTGCAGCAGGTGACTGCCACCCGGGGTGAGTCCATGGCAGCCGGGGCGGGTGAGCTTGGCAGAGCCAAGTTCAGGACGAGTGGCGTGGAGGGTCCGGAGTGGTGGAGGGCGGGCAGCACCGGTCAGCCGGGCCCCCGGGAGGCCTGGCACTGGGCTCAGGGTGCGCGTGGGGGCCAGACCCAGCGCTCTGCAGGGCAGCCTCTGGGCCGGGCACGTGCAGTGCCCGCCGCCCTTGGCCCCGGGTGCCCCCCGGGGCCTGCTCCCCTGCGGCCGCACCCCGCCCTGGCCTGCAGTGGCCCTGTCTCCCAGTCCCAGCAGCTGTGTCCTTCGATCTCCCCCCCTCCCACCCAGCTGCCGCGGGCTGTCCTTCCTTCCCACTTCCAGCCCTGCCCAGTGCCCTCTGGGGGCTCAGCTGGGCGGCCAGTGACCCCTGTTTGACAGGGGAGCGGCAGGTGCAGCGTTGATGATGGGGGTGGGGCTGAGCCCCCAGTTTGGTTCTGGCCCTGGCTGAGGCTGCGTGTCCTTCCCAGGCGCCCAAGTGGGCGCCTCTGGGTGCTGCACACGTGAGGCCCTCACGCGTCCCCGGTGCGTGCGACCACGGGGCAGCACCTCACACCAGAGCCTTGGGGAAACAAACCAGGTTCTCCCTTGGTCTCAGTCCGGAGGGGCGCCACGAGCTCCCCCTCGGTGGCCTCCGTCCGCCTGATGTCATTCTGCCCACAGGTGCTGCAGCCAGGCGGGCCCTGTGCCTGGACCAGGCCGTGGTCTTCATTGAGGACGCCATCCAGGTGCGTGGCGCTCCGCGTGGTGGGCCGGCCTGCCTCCTGGCTCGGCGGGGTGCGGGGCCACGGGCTGCGTCTGGGCTGTGCGGTCGGCGTCACGTGACAGCCGTGTCCCCCGGGTCCTCCCGGAGGAGGCTCTGGAGTCCCAGATCGTTTGTCCGTGACATGCACGTACCTGGGCTGCCACCTGCTTCTAGGTCCCGGGAGGGGAGGGCAGGCAGGGGGCCGTGGGGCCGTGCAGGACCCCGCTCGGGCAGCGGCCGGCCGTGCAGTCCGTGAGTGCCTGCGTGGCCGCTTGGCCTGGCCTCTGCGCGGGGCTTTGCGTGCGCCGGCCAGCCTTGCCGCTGGCTGGGAGTGCGCCCCGTTCACGCGCCGAGTGGCCGCCCGCTGTCTCCCCACCTGGCAAGTGTGTTCGGGAGCGACGGGCACCCCGCCTGTGCCCGCTGAGTCGGGGCCCTCCACACCCGTGCCCTCTCGTTCCAGTACCGCTCCATCGGCCACCGCGTGGACGCCAGGTCGCTGTGGCTGTACCGCTGGTACTACTCCAGCACCTGCCAGTGGTGAGCGCGGGCCGGGGTGGGGGGACCCCGCAGGGAGCGGGCACGCCCCCTCTTCCCTGGGAGGGGGCAGCCCAGAGGCAGAGGCTTCTTTCCAGAACATTCGGGTAGCCCTGGCTGTTGAGTTTCCACTGGATTCGTGTTGCTTGACCCCCAAGTGGCCCCAGGCCAGGAAGGGTGACCCACCATGGACCCGGAGCCTGCCGCTGGCCGCCTCGGGCCTGGGCGGCTGGTCCCTGTGTTTTCACACTTGCGGCCTTTCCCAGGATTTTGAGCTTTACCATCTTCCTGATCCTGTCTCTGGCGTTCGTGGAGACCCCTTCCTCGTTCAGCAGCACCTCGGACGTCCGCTACCGCTCGGCCCCCTGGAGCCTGCCCTGCGGCCTGACGGAGGGCCTGGAGGGGCTGTGCCTGCTGGTCTTCGTGGCTGACGTCTCCGTGAAGGTGAGGGCGGCCGCCGGCTGCCTGTGCTCTGACTTGCACTTTGACCGTGGGGCCGAGGCCTGGGCTCCCTGGCAGCCCGGACCTTGTAGCAGCCGTGGCCTCTCCCCGTGGCCCAGCCGCCCGCCCCCGAGAGAGGCACGGGGCGGGTCTGACTGTGACCGTGGCCGCTCCTCGCTCTCTGACGCTGCCGGCCTGCGCCAAGCCCGGCGGCTTCCTGTGAGCCCACTGTGCCGCTGGCCACGCCGGGACCGCGCCCCCACAGGCGTTGGGGCGCACCCTGCCTGCGGCCAGGCCCCTTCTCTCAGCCCTGCGGGTGGGAAGGTGGCCTCGGCCTCCGTGCTAGCGTGAGATGCCCAGCAGCACCTCTGCTTCTCCTTTCTAGCCCTTACTGCGGTGCGGAGGTCGGGGGCGGGGAGCTGCTTCTGGCGAGCAGTTCCCAGAGCGTGCCTGAATGCTCACTGCTTTGCTCTGGGGACGTCTCGGGCGGGAGGGTGCCACGCTGGTCTGCAGGCCTGACCGCTGAGGCTGGTGACCGGGACACGCGGGGGAGGGCAGGCCCTTCACGAAATCTCCCTTCCGCGGCCTCCGCCCGGGGCAGGGCAGGGCTGTCCACTGAGCACTGCCTGGGGTCCCGGTCCATCCAGGGCTCTCTGGTGGGGTGGTGGCCAGGCGGAACAGGTGGGAGCCCCAACACCAGTGTGGAGGGCGGGGCGGGGACGTCCGAGCCCGAGGGCACTAGCCGCGGGGCTCGGCTGCGGGTAGGGTGGGGAGCTCGGCCTCCTGGCTGCCGCTCCCCAAGGCCTGTGGAGACCACACTGCCCGCCGCGCGCCCTCTGCTCCGGTGCCCGCCCGTGCCAGCTGGTCCCTGTCTCTTGCAGAGCTACCTGGTTGGGTGGGCCCAGTTCCGGCAGAACCCCTGGCTGCTGGCCTACCTGCTGGTGCTGGCCGTGTCCCTGGGGGACTGGACTGTGTCGCTGAATCTCCTGTGTCAGGAGGTAGGTGGGAGGCGGCCTGGTGCCGTGCAGGGTGCAGCCCGCAGCCCCTGCCCGGCCCAGCCCTCCCAGGAGGGCCCCCCAGTGGCGGGGCCTCTTCCCTCCTCCTGGCTCCTCCGGCTGCCTCACCACATTCACTGCACCCCTGTGGGCTGTGCCCCGCCGCAGCCCCAAGACCCTGTCAGTAAAGGGCCCCTGTGAGCCGCAGCCGCCGCCTCCTGCCGTTGCCATTCCGAGGGCTGCCGTGCCCGCCC